ACGGGGTTTCACCATGTTGACCAGGATGGTCTCGATCTCTTGACCTTGTGATCCACCCGCCTCGGCCTCCCAAAGTGCTGGGATTACAGGCTTGAGCCACCGCGCCCGGCCCAATTTTTGTATTTTTTGTAGACATGAGGTCTCGCTATGTTGCTCAGGCTGATTTTAAACTCCTGACCTCGTGTGATACTCCTGCCTTGGCCTCCAAAGTGTTTAGATTACAGGCGTGATCCACCACGCCTGGCCTGTGTGTTCTTTCACAGCAGACACCAGAACACTTTCCTGTTCCTGGATGCTGTGTCAACAACTGTGAGGCTAATTCAACTGAGAGAGAAGGTAGGAATTGCTTTCTGAAGCATTCTGAATGAGAAGGGAACACTATGAGTTTTGAGTTTTATTGTGGCTAATACATCAGATGCATTATTAAGGTTGGACAACATGGTGACTGCCTAGAAAGACCTTTGCAACCAGTGCCTGCAACCTTCATTCCCAATGAACATTCTTGTGATGGCTCCAATGCTATCGACAAGCATTAACAGTCAAAAAGAGAAAAGGAAATCCCCTATGGTGTGAAAGGCTTCTCAGCTGCAGATGCCGGGAGCCCAGAAGCGCCTTCCAGCTGCAGAGGGCGATTTCAGTCCATGCCGACCCTCCTGCTTGTCTTTATGGCAGAATGAATTCTCTTTTGTCTCAGCCTTTCCCGATTCATGCTTTCTATCCTGAAAACAAAAAGACTGCAATTAGGCCCAGATGCCCAATCAGTGCTTTTCAAAGTGGTGAGAGGAGTTGGAAGCTCAACGGGAAGCCGAGCAGTTTACCAGTAGGCACTAGAGCTGGGCCTGTGTCCCAGGTCAGCATCCCCTCCTCTTCCTAGAGCTTCTCCCAGGGCACGTCCTGGACTTTCCTCTGCCCCTTCCTTATCTGTGTAGACTATCGTCCGCACAAATCAGTTTATAGCAGCTTTAGGACATTTGCCGGTACCTGAGTCTCTGAAGTTTAGCATCTTCTTTCGATGGCTCCTTGGGTGTCTGGCTGGCCTCAGCGATCATGTCTCGAATTTTCTGCAGGCAATCGGCCAGATTCCGGAACTGATAGCGGCTGCTCTCAGAGGTGAGGATCAACTCTCCTGACCTGTTGATCTTGTTTTTGTGCTGCAGAGAACAAAGGAAAAACCGGAGTCCTACAGAGTAAAGGTTTAAAAGCCACTGAGGGGTTTCTAGGGAAAGAAAGGGATGGTGGTTACCACGATGGCTATCTTCTGCCTCACAGGCTCTGCGATCCAGTCGGCAGTTGCCAAGTGGAACCTGACTTCCGCCTTGGAATTCACTGTGGATGAAAGGGAGAAGGGAGTATGGGTGCCTGAGACTTCCGGGAAGGATCAACCCCTGTGTGACCAGTGACCATCCTGAAACAAAGGGAGGCCAGACACCCAACCATGTACATTCTAGCTGACGTCCAAGTTGGCTATGAACAAGCCTGCGAAGATAGTGAGGCACTTCTGGACAAATATAGACTTCCAGTAACTAAGTGTCTAGTGCTTCTCTTACAGTTTTACTGGGTACAAAAAAAAATGGAGGGAATGGATTTCACCAGAATGAAGGAAAGCTGTTCTTGGAGCTGGCTGCTGCCTCACACTGTGATTTCCCTTTGTTTAGACTCACAAGCCAATCCTAGTCCTAGCAACCCACAGCTGAACGTCTGAAAATCAGACCACATTCAAAAGAATAAAGAGGATTATTATAAACTGGCAGTACTTAAGCTTCTGCTGAAAATTCCCTTCATTCCATATGAACATAAACTCAGGGCTCCTGAAGCCCATCTCCCAGCTACATTTGAAAGCAAAAGAAAGCAACGAGGCACCCGTACCTTTGTTCACATTCTGTCCCCCAGGACCACTACTCCGACAATAAGATATTGTCAAGCGATCTGTAAAATAGAAGAAAGTACACACGCAAAACTGATTACCTCCCGGCAAATGTGCAAACCACTAATTTACCATCAACATAACTATCCCTATTATGTATCTTTCTCTTTCAATGACTTTTATATACAGTCATCCCTCAGTAGCTGTGGGGGATTGGCTCTAGCACCCCGTGGATACCAAAATCCACGAATGCACGGTCCCTGATATAAAATGGTGTAGTATTTGCAAATAACCGGCACACATCCTCCTGCATACTTACAACTAGATCACTTATAACACCTAATACAATATAAACACTATGTAAATAGTTGTTATACTGTATTGTTTAGAGAATAATGAGAAAAAAAAGTCTGCATAAGCTGCAAACATCTTTTTTCTTTTTCAATTTTTTTTTTTTTTTTTACTAACAGGTTTTCTCTCTTTTCCCCAGGATGGAGTGCAGTGACATGATCATAGCTCACTGCAGCCTCAAACTCCTGAGCTCAAGTGATCCTCCTGCCTCAGCCTCCCAAGTAGCTAGGACTTCAGGCATGTGCCACCATACCCTGCTGATTATTTTTTAAGGTTTTTTTTTTTTTTTTTGTAATTATAGGGTCTTGCTATGTTGCCCAGGCTGTTCTTGAACTTCTGGGCTAAAATGATCCTCCGAAAGTGTTGGGTTTACAGGTGTAAGCCACTGTGCCCAGCCTCTTTTTCAAATATTTTTGATTCACAGTTGGTGGAATCCATAGACGTAGAACTCACAGATACAGAGGGCCAACTGTATACATAAAAGTAACATTCAGATCAGTGAAGCTGGAAGTTATTCACAGATGTCAAAACTGAAATCAGAGCAAGTGACTTTCCCAAGGTCACACAGACAGCAAAGAAAGTAAAATCAGGACTGGGCTGTCTGCTTCTACTCCCATACACTCCCCCCGATCTGCTGCCCTCGCTTTTTGCTGCTTGTTTTCTGTTTGTTTCAAAGCAAGGATCATTTCAAAAGTTCAAACTAAGGGGCAGAGTTACTTTCATTCCAGCTGTGGCAGATGTGGAATCTCAACAGACTATAAGCTCCAAGAGGGCAGGACTGTATCTAATTCATGGCGTGTTCATGGGTGTTCCCCAGGCCTAGATCACAGTTAGTGTTAAAACATCTGTTGGATGAATGAGGAGCTGGCAGCTCTAG